GACACATTTCTGAGTTGGGGGCTTTGTCATCCAAGGATGACCTTTGTCAATTTCACCAGGATAAGGTGGTCCTTTGTTTGGACACTACTTTCCTCCCAAAGGTCAATTCACCCTTGTTTGGACACTACGTTCCTCCCAAACGTCAATTCACCCTTGTTTGGACACTACGTTCCTCCCAAACGTCAATTCACCCTTCCACTGGGCACAGGAGGTCATTCTTCCTAATTTCTGTCCTAACCCCTCCCATGAGAGGGAGTGCCTTTGCCACTGTTTAGACGTGTGCCACGCCTTACGCATATATCTCCGATGCACATTTCATTCCAACCTGGCTCCATGGGGGCCAGAGTTTAATCTGCCACAATTGGCAGGTGGCTACGTCAGGCCATCTCCACTGCTTACGGGTCCTTAGGCTGGCCGGCTTCCCTGGGGATCACTGTCCACTCCACACGGAGTGCCGCCGCTACAGCGGTGTGGGCCACGAGGGCTCCATTCAAGGACATAAGTCAGGCGGCCACTTGGGCCTCCCCGTCCTCCTTTATGCGCCACTATCGGTTGGATGCCTTTGCATCTGTTGCAGGGTTCTCCAGCAGGTAGTGACCGCCCCTTCCCCTGAGCCTTAGTTCCCTCCCTGGGACTGAGCTTGTGTATGTCACATGTGTAGCCCCTCCCTCGAGTCTACTGGAAAAAAAACGTTGGTCCTTACCTAAACGTTTCTTTTCAGTAGTCAAGAGGGAGGGGCTACTTCTCACCCCAATTAGTTAGTTGCTAGTTAGCGGGGTGCGGGGTGGTCGGGTGGTTTCCTTCTGTTTGTGGTTGGTTTTTATGCAGTTTATCTTTGGTCATTCGTCTTCGAGGAATGGGAGCCAACAGGGAAAGGAGGAAGTTAAAAGAAATTTCCCTCAGTCTTTGGACCAATCAGGCTTTCGGAATATCCCATGTGTAGCCCCTCCCTCTCGTCTACTGAAAAGAAACATTCAGGTAAGGAGCAACGTTCTTTTTCTCTTGATATATCAAGGCAAATCATTCATCTATCTTGTCCAAACCCAGCTCTGTATTTTGATACTAAGCTCGGTTAGATGGAAGTTTCTTAGGCTTACCTGGAAATGACATGGACTCCATCTGGAACCTTGTGCGTGCCAAATACTTAGGCTAACATTAAGCAGGCAAGGTTTATTTTTATTAAAAATATTAAGAATAAATAGTTTGAGTTAAGAAACCTTCAATAGACTTCCATTTAACCTTACATGTGAAGATGTGGGATTATTTTCCTGCCTCTCCCATTATCAGTAGATTTGCAAGGCAGAAATACTTGCATTTGTAAGCAGACTGTTAAATGCAAACTAGCATCAACAGTTTTCAGGATCAAACCAGTGTGGATAATTTAAAAAAGAAAGAAAGAAAGAAAATAAATAGAAAAGCTCTTCATGGGATTTTGTTATAATAGCAGATTTTTAACTGAATGAGCACCAGTAGTAAAGCAGAGAGAGAAATGTTATTTTTAAGTGTGGAGTAAAAACGGATTTTTTTTACATTTAATCAAACAGTAAAACAGGAAATTTAAAAATGGGAAATAAGGTCAGTTGAAACTAAAGTACTGAACTGTATTATTTTCACATAAATACAGCAAATTTATTTTTCACAATTTACACAGCCTTATATTTCAAAGTCATTTTATATAAAAAAAATAAAGCTATAAGTTAGTGTGAATGTGACATTCTCGTAGTCCACAATGATTTTCTAGTAGAGATGTCATCTGGACAGATACTTGATGGAAAAGCTCACCATTAAGACTAATATTGGCTCCTGCAATATTTTCCCTGCAGTTTATTATGTTATTTAAGAACCAAAATATTTTTCTCAGCATTCTGGGTTTTGAAATTTTCATTTCAAAATCAATAGTATTGCTGAGCAACGAAATGTAATAAAACAAAAATAATTGAATGAGTATGATAATCTTTTTAAATTTGTACCAGCTGTTTTTCCATGCTGTCCTTTTCTTTCATGGAAGGTTTTTTTTTTAAAGGACATTGTGGAAGTACGCATGTTACCCATGCAGGAAGTTTCATCAGATTTCTGTGGGTTTCCTGGTTAACCTTCTCATTGAAAAAGTTTTCCTGTCTTTCCAACAAAGGCATTTCATGTTGCTTCTCTACTGTTTAATAAATTCTTCCATTTAAATGAAATACAGAATATTGTTCAGACAGAGGTTTCCTGTTTTAGTTAAAACATGTAACCAAAATAATTATTTTCTTTGATTTCTGTGTTACAGAAATCTGAATAGCTGCCCAGAAATAAACTCTCAAATTGGTAGCAAAAGCCAGACATAGAAATATATAATACGCAAAAGCAATGACACTTTGTAGATTTTTTTTCAACAATAGAAACTGATCAACATTTCTTATTTATAGCTGGAAAGAAAGCTAAGGGAGAAGTATTTAACAAGGCCTTTGTAGTTTGCAGATGTGCCTTTACATCTCTTAAGTTAAGCCCTCTTGGAGATGACATGGATGTATCCATGAAAGCTTGTGAGTTAATAGCTAAGGTGTAATATATACTGGGCAACCACTTCATAGCCTATTAGTCACATCTATCTTCACCTATGTTGAGTGATAAAACTCCCAATAAAAGGGCAAATAAAATTTTCTTTTTAAGCACATTTCAAAAATGAATATATAATTAACAGATCCCAAGACCTATGAGGAAGGCTGGGGGAAGGAGGCGCATATTTTATGTTGCCTTTGAATCTGCCATTGTAAATTGCTCATTTCTGCTAGGGCTGGATTTTCCAAGGGCCTCCTTTCTTGTTTTGTTCTGCCTGATGAGACCCCGCTTGTCTCCCTTCCAAGAGAGAGCTGCAGTGAGGAATACCTTATTAATGATTCATTAGTTCCATCAGTAGCTGGCTGTGTATAAAGCTCAAGTGACCCTTTTTCCCCTTTTGCTGGATCAAGGTTAAGAATAACCATCTGAACCAAGCGATTCACGAGGAGCGCGAGGCCATCATTGAACTGCGAGTACAGCTTCGCCTCTTGCAGATACAGCGAGCCAAAACGGAGCAGCAGGTGCAGGAAGAGGAAGAGCTTGAGAAACGAGGGGGCCCGATGCAGCAGCAGCCGCCCCTGCCAAGAGACAGTGTCCCAGAGACAAAAGCTATGAAAGAGCAGCCAAAGGCAATCCAGGAGTCAGTAAAGCCATCTCCAAGCAAGGATAGAAAAGAAACTCCAATTTAATTGGATTTCTGAGCATTTGAATTCTTGCCTGTGCAAAGCCAGGACTGCGCAACTTACTGTAAATTTATGGCCTGTACATTCTGTAAATATTTTCTCTTTTACATTCTGGGGATATTTTGTCCCCGTCCTATGTGTGGCTTCTGCCTATCAGGCTCAGGTTACTTGGAAAGATAAAGCAGAGAGAGAGAGAGAGATGGCAGGAGGTGGCAGCTCTCTAGTTACTCAGCCTTGTGAAACATTAGCTTTGGCTGATCTTTGGGAATTGAGGGGATGATGGTACATTTTAGAACGATTACATACTCACTCTGAAGCAGACTTTCAAAATCTCTCATGCATTATCTGTCCAAGGGCTACTTCATACAAGATATTTCATTGCACAGATGTAGGAAAAAGTACAGAGTCTTCTGGGCATATAGCAATATGTCTTGTAATACTTGGCCACCAGAAATTTCAGGTAGAGAAGGTTGCATATCCCCTTCCCCCAAATCTCTCCATTTGGTTATCTTTCTGGCCACACATGCAGATGACTGTGTTTCTCTCTGACCAGCACCGAAACCAGAGGAGGGGAGAACACTGCACAACCCCTCTCTTTGCCATTTGCGGGTAGTCTAATTTAAAAGGTAGCATTTCCATTCTGGTCTTGAAAAGGAGCTTCCTCTTAGCATCAAAATGGCTTTTATGACGTTATTTACAAGGCTGATACGTCACTAATCAGTGCAGTTGTCTGTTAAGTGTTTATAGAGAAGCCACACTTGGCACAGCAAAATAGATGCAAGCATATTCCACAATGGTCCATGTTTTTCTGTGGAGGTAAAGTAATTGTATGAAAAGTGGCTGTTGGTTAAGAATGGGGAGATCCAATCCATATCCCATTCATTTATTTGCTTTGTAATTTTTTTGCTCTCGTTCCTCATAATTGTCTTTATTCACTCTTACTTGTGCCTTTCAGTAACAAAGGAGCTTTACAAAATAGATGTGCCCAAAACGGTGGAAGATCTTCAAAACTTTAGTATTATGTAATGTGTTTTCATCTGACTTTTTAAAAGCTTTATGAAAGTACGTGAAATTAAATTGAAAAGATTGATAAGCACATATCCATAAATTCACTATGAATTCTTGAACCCTGTCAATGCAGTTATATGTAGAACTGATTCCTAGGGTTGCCAATTAATTAGAGAATGGAAGCATTTTGTAAGTTTTATAGCAAACCTCATAATGCTGACCTTTCTTTCTTTTAATAATTTAAAGAAATTAGTGAATGTTGTTGATTATCAAGGTCCCATGATTTAGGAAAAGGAGTTGGAGGTGATTTTTGTTGCACTCTTTCTTTGATGGATTGAGAGCACTTTGAAGTACAGTGCAACACAAGTGCACTGTATCCAAAAGGCTCTTGGAACTGAGGTGAATGATAAGAAACAATCTCACCCATTTTAGTGGCTTTGAAAGAAGTATTACATTCAGAAAGGGCTTCATATTGTTCTAGAACTTGTACCAGTGTTTGGTACACATTTGAAAGTGTGTTGTAAGTGCTTTGGTGGTCCTCTCAAGCACAATGCAATGGAGGGAAGAAGGTCCATCCCCAAGCCCTTCCTGGCATTTTCTAAATGGCAATAGGGGAGTGTATTTGTGGTCCTTTGTGCGCTTAAAAGAGGGTGATTCCAATAAATAAAAAAGCTGGTAATATATACCCATAAATTTGTGATAGAAATGTTCAGCTGCCTTATGCTTAATTAGTTACCATTGCCAGCAGTGAATTCTTACAATAAATTGTGGCTTTTCAGAGCCACATCATTAAAATCCCAATTCAATTTGAAGTGGTTAATGTTAATTGAACTCTATAGAGTGCTTGTAGCTTATTTAGTTTCTGTAATATTTATTTTTTATGTGGTGGGTGGGTGGTTTTTTGTTTTTCGGTTTGTTTGTTTTTTTGTTTTTTGCCTATTGCACTGTTGTGAATCATTGGCCATGATTTAATGTTTGTACAAATGACACTGAGATGTGCATTCTAAAGAACGATTTTTTAAAAAAACCTTAAAGAAAATTTATGGAGGTTGGTTAAATGACAATTGTAGGTAGGGTTTTTTTTTGGCCTGTTACATACATTTTATATTTCTGACAGTATTTAAACCTTTTTGTTTTGAATTCATACTAATTTCTATTAAATTGTCAAACTTTTATAATCAATGTTCATCAAATATTTTGATATTGGCTAATTTTTGTTTGTCAAGAACATGTTAATCAAGAAAATAAATTTAACAGCCATGTGCTAATGGTTTTATTGAATTAAAAATGTTAAGATTCACAAATAAATTCTCTGGTCCACATTCAAAGCCCTAATGTGGTAATAACTAACTGAACCTATGAAAAATGTTTGTATTAAATAAATGCAATTCTACAGAAAAACTAAAAGGACAGCAGATTACTAATTGTGGTTCTTTCTGACTCACATTTCTGGATTGTACTGTATGATTCTTCAGTCTAATCAAGAACCAGAATCACTCTCTATGACAGAAAATGGTTAACTAATGAGGGAAGGCAGTTGAAAAAAAAATCCTCTTAGGATACAAATTGTTGGCAAATTGAGTTTTGAGTGCGAAGCATTTCTGGAATGTTCACAACAACCTGATTTGAACTTAATTCATTGTAAACTTAAATTGTTGTGAATTCCAAATGTTTTATCCATCCTAATGAAGAGAAAGCCGCTCAGCAATGAGACCTAAATTTGTATTCATCCCTACTTCTTTCATTTATGAATTTTCTGTAGATTAGTAGATGCATAATTTACTTATATATGCTACAAGGTCAAGTGCCTTGCTGCTTGCTTCTGCGACCCTACATTGGTTTCTGTTGTCTGACAGCAGAATCTGTTTTTCCCCATTTCCAATTTCCATGTATTCTTTCATCATAGCAGAATGAGCTGGAAGAGAACACAATCTCACTGTTTGTTCCAGTTTCTGAAGGTAGCCCCATATTTTCATTAGGGACTTATTATAGCATGGAAAATAATAATTTCCCCCATGTCATTCTTCAGTGTATTCAGTGTTCCAACTCTGTTTTAAGCAGGTATTAAGTAAGCAAATGTTTACTGTTTTTAAAGAAAGTCATTTGCTTATCTGATTCTTAAGTATCTTTTCCCACTGACTGAAGAAAGGAAAGGAAATGTTTCATATATAATGCTGCACAAGGAAAATACTAACATACATACGTATTGTTCAAGTTCCATTAAGAGAGCCAGAGTAAGAGTTCTCTTCAGTTGGTTCAAACAGAAAATTGGAAGCAAACGTTAAATGTTATATGACAATTTAATGCAGACCTGATTAGAATGCCATATATTGTTGTAAATTAAGATTGCACACAACTTCCACATATCCTGTTCCAATTTGAGAAGAAGCTATGAAACTTGCAAACAATTTTTGCTTACATATTTTTTTGGGTTAAAATATGGTCATAAGGCCAGCTTCTAAGGAACTATATGAAACTTGTGTCCTGCTAACTCTTCCAAAAAAAGGAGCCATAGCAGGGAGAAATAAGAGTTTCAAAACTAGAAGACTGGTTAAAATACTTGGTTTGGATGCATTGATAAAAAAATTGTAAGTTACATAAAAGGAAACCTACTTTAGAAAAACCATGATTTCTGCAGAGGAATTATTTTGCTAAAATGTTTTAAAGGATGTAGATAAAATGATTTAGTAGAAAGTATTTGTTTACACTTTTAGGGCACTTTTGAAAGTAAACAAGGATTCCTGAATACTAGGTATTTGAGTCAAATGTTATAAATGCAATAAAGAATATAATTGGACTATATTCTCACAATAGACATAGTGAAAAAATGAGGTTCAGTAGGGCTAAAGTGATTTTCAGTTTGGATATAAAAGATGTTACAAATAAACACATCGCAGGATGTTGCAGGATGCAATCTGAGTTGGTTTTGTCTTCCAAACTTTCGCACTCGGGCTGGAGCCTATCTTCAGGGAACTTCCTCTAGCAGTGTGTGCACTTTGGGCTGTTGTGTGATATTTATATGGTGCCTGTTATATGTGATTTTTTAAGATGTTAATTGGATTGGATCAACATCTAAAAAGTCACAACAGGCACCATATAAACACCACACAAATAACAGTCCAAAGCACACTCTGCTAGAGGAAGTTCCCTGAAGAGCTCAGAAGACACCCCTGATCATGGTGACCGACCCAGATTGGATCCTGCATAAAAGATGTTATAACTAGGAACTCAACAGTTTAACTGCCACTTTGATGTAGGCTGGCTCACATTTAGAGGGAAAAGCCCTCTGTTAATCTGATGAAATATGGATTGATAATGTCTAAGCAGAAACACTTTTCTGTCCATTTTGATTTCGCTTGAGAAAACAGCAAATATGTTAGGAAAAGGGCTGTACAAAGTATTCCAACAGCTTTTTCATAAAGCCCTCTCTGAAATAAGAGGCAGGCTCCTTGCCAATATTGAGCAGCAGTTTTAATAGCTGTCTGCACATGCCCTTTACTTCACTGGTGGTCCCAGGGGGAGCATGGCTTGTGCATCCCCCTATAGACAGCTGAGGCCAGCTGCTGAAGCATGGTCTTCATTCACACTAACACTTTAGGAATACCCCAACTGCTTTGCCAAGCTGAAATTAAACTAAACCGCAGCATACCTGAATGGTCAGTTTGCATTTTGTGTGTGTTCTCTTCAGTTGTACAGCAGCACACATGTGAAAAGCCAAACATCAACTTTGCGGATAGCATAATACCAACTATATCTCTGTCCTATGTTACTGCCTCTCCCATCAATGGAATTAAGCTAAAGAAGAGATCACAGTAGGGGAAGTAAATAGCTCCCCCGTCCCCAAACTCACCTGAGCATCCACAGAGAGAATGTGGCTTCCCCAGTGAATGCCCCTTCAAAGCATTTTGGAGAGACAATTTTATCAAGAACAGCAAGTGACAAGTCCACAAAAGCCATTTTCCCCTAGTCATTACTCAGGTTTTTTTGCAGAATTGGTATGAAGACCTACCCTACTGTATCTAGTATATTGAGTGAAAAGTATTGCACCATTAACTAAAAACAGGCATGCAAAACCCTAATGTTTATATCTAACATGTAATATGTTGATAAGATCATATATTTTCCCAGAAATGAGAACAAATGCCTATTAACAAAATTGTGATATGTTATAGCAGAGCATTTGTATTTGATGCAAGAATAAGCTATATATATTCAACTAGCCTACAATTTTCTTAGGAGGAGTTACCATGAATATTGGCCATTCCTAGCGTATTTCAAACAAGTTGGATGTCCTGTTAAAGGACTGGGTAATGGACCTGGTTTGAAATCTTTAATTGAACAGTTTGTGTGCGCATGCACATCTATATGCTTAAACAAAGCCCTAGACTTAACCAGAAAAAGCATATATGTATAATTAACAAAATGAACAAGGCCTTAGAGGTCAGCCTATAATTTAAAGGACTCACAGGAATGAATTCCCATCTCAGTGTCTTACCTGTATTATAAACTATGCTGAGGTATTCACACAGCAGTAGTAATAGCACTTAGACTTTTATACCATCTCATATTGCTTTACGGCGCACTCTGGGCAGTTTACAATGTCAGTTTACAATTGCCCCCAATAATCTAGGTCCTCATTTTGCTGACCTTGGAAGGATGGATGGCTGAGTCAACCACGAGCCCCATCAGATTGAACTCCAGACCAGACCATGGGCAGTTAGCCTGTAATACTGCATTCTAACCATTGCACCACCAGGGTTCTTAAGCACTTCAACATTCATAAATCTACTGTAATCCTACAAACACACACTTGCATATAATCAGGGTTCAAAAGCCCTACATACAAACTGGCTAAGTCAGATTGTTTCATCCCTAAAATACCTTCATTGCAATTTGAGGCTATGAAAATATAAACACAAATACTAGTTGTTCAGATGTTTTCTCCAATGGAATCAGTATGTTCAACTATTTTTTAGGAAAACATGGGAATCAAAACACACTGACATAATCATGCTAATTTAAATCTATATTTTAGGCACATTTGAACACGAACAGGAAAACGTTTTTATAAAAAACAGTTCATAGTTTCAAGGGATTACATGGCATTAAGAAAAGGAAAGTTCATTCTTATTAATATTATTTTTATTCTGAGAAGGAAAGAACATGTTATCACAACAGTTTGAAATAGCATGATTCAAGACTGCACTCCCACGAGTGGTCCAAGATATGTACAGTATATGAAGAAAAAGTTGCACCTCAGAACCGATCATGATCAAGTTTAAAATACCTGACTTGAAGTACATGTGCTATTAGATTTCCTTCAGGTCATGACCAGCATGAAAAAAAAATCAAATATCAGGACACAGGTATTCAGCATAGATTTTTGTTTACAGACACAGCAATATGCTGTGTTTTAAGGGTTAAAATCAGATTGTGGTTTAATGTTGGCACTGAATCCTTGAGGTGAGAAAAACAAAACACCAAACTTCTACTTTTCCCTCATTTACACACATCAAAACTATTCACACTTAAGGGTGTGCCCAGTTGCACACAAATGTAAGTCTTTTCAAAGATTAAAAACTTTAATAGCCAATACTGGAGACAGCTTCTTTGCTTCTCGGTATAAATCCGCCAGCTATTGGTTCCTAAGAAAGAGTTTGCTAAGGTAACTCTTTGACAGAAAACAAATGACAGTCTCTGGAAATCACTCCCTTTCTACACTGAAAATGCTCAGACAATTCAAGTTTCACATATTCAGGAAGACAGAAGATTTAAGGCTCTGGTGACAAATACAATCCTCTGAGTAAAATTTTTCTAGAGTCAAGATTCCACACATAACGGGTTTTCCTTGACTCCAAAATTCTTGATCTCAGATTTAGATAACATCCAACTGAAGTTAAGTCTGGCAAGATATTCTCTCCGTGGAAAAGAGGTTTCAGTAATCCATGTTAGGAGCACTTGACGATTGCCTACAATTTTGTAATGTTTGTTCTCTTTTATTAAAATTATACCAACATTCAGGAACTACTTTTAGTAAGTTGAAGAGGCTGTGCTCATAGCATCATCAGAAATTTTGGTACTGGCCGGGTGGATGCTTGCAAAATACTTGACATCATTGTCATTATCCATCTGGAGGGCCACGATTGTCTGTTCTACAGCTTCTTGATGGGAATTAACACACATCAGAAAGTATTCTGCATGGGGAGGGAGGAAAGGAAATGGGAAGGGAATGAATTATTATTAGTCATGCTCCAATCAGCATGCAAGAAATAGCAAGTATTGGACATCAAAATCAGGGTGTTACAGAAATGAAATGTAAGTTAAAGTCTGCCGAAGCCAAGAGATTGTTTTCTTTTTCCCTCATTTAGTGTTCATATCTTCCTTTACCTCAATCCAGATAATAAACAACGTTGGATCTACTTCTGCAATCAGTTATTTAATTCTGACTTCTGGACAGGTTCCTTATGCTAAACCTAACCTACTTTGCATTTTTAATTAAAAATTATTGATTCTACCTCGTGTCCTTTCCACCCTGAAAAATTCAGAATGAATTATTTACCTTGTTTTTTTTTCCTCCTCCACCTTCCACTGTCCTTCCATATTTACAGGTCCTTTCTCAATAATTATGCTTCTGTCTTTTCCTTATTCTATTACCTTCTTAGTCTTTTCTAAGCTATCAGTTTTGCCAATAAAATCTCTTTATTGTGCAGTATTTTCTTTCCAACTCATTTTCTATTCACATTCTTAATGTCATAAATATTTTTCTCCATTATTTTCTATATTCAGTCTGTCTGTCATTTTCCCACTGGATACTAATCTTTTCAATAATCATTTATCAGGTGCCTCTCACTTCTCAGACTGTATAAAAAGGAGAACATTTTTGAAAGCAAGAAGTCTGTCTTTCACTGTAATGTATATAGTTTGGAAGGAATAAAAGTAAAATGTAATCTTATCAAATATATCACAATCCTGTCCAGTAGACTTACTCCCCATACATGTGTTCAGGATTGCAGATTTGTTCATGAGCACATGCCAAGTATCTTCAACTATAAGGGAATCACAATCAGTTTAGTCTGATTGGAATGGGCAACTATTTTGATATTAGGAGCTGCTCTTCTTATTTTGTTTTGTTTTGAAAGCTAAAGTGGGCATGTATAATGGTGTGTGAGAATGGCCTTGAGGGAAGAGGGGAAGATACGCTGCCCAGGAAACAGAAAAAAGAGAGGCGTCCCCAGTGGCTTAATAGTGAGAGGAAGCAACTTAGGAAGGACCCACCCTAACTGATCAGGCAGTTAAAAAGAACAGCAGGAAAACTGTACATAGACTATAGACTTGCGAAATTCTGTTAATGTAACCTTACAATAAAGTAGAATTAGCTCATCTCACTGTTTCCTGAGTGGTTTGCCTACAGCAGTGTTTTTCAACCTTTTTTGTGCAAAGGCACACTTTTTTCATGAAAAAAATCACGAGGCACACCACCATTAGAAAATGTTAAAA